AAAAAATTATCTGGTCCTTGGCAGGTCATAAAATGTAGGAAATAAAACCTCAGATGAAAACAACACATCACATATCACACTGTGTCATTCTTTATTTAACAAAAATAAAGCCAAAATGGAAAACCATGCATGACAAATTTAAGAGACCACATGATTCAATTGCTTGTAGATCCACTTTTAGCAGTAATAACTTGAAGTAACAATTTTCTGTATGACTTTTCAGTCTCTCACATCATTGTGGAGGAATTGTGGCCCACTCCTCTTTACAACATTGCTCCAGTTTATATTCAAGTTTGTGCACAGCTCTCACCACAGCATTTCAGTCAGGATGAGGTCTGGACTTTGACTGGGCTTTTGAAACACCTTGATTCTTTTATTTTCAGCCCTTCTATTGTAGATTTGCTGCTGTGCTTGGGATCATTACCCTGTTGCATGATCCAACACTGGCCCAACTTTAGCTGTCGGACAGATGGCCATGGGGTTCATGGTCGATTCAATGACTGTGAGGTGCCCAGGTCCTGTGGCTACAAAACAAGTCCAAAATCATCAGCCCTCCACCATCATGTGTGACTTTTGCTATGAGGTGTTTGTGCTGATGTGTTCTTTAGGTTTTCACCAAACATGGCGCTGTGCATTATTGCCAAACATCTCCACTCTGGTATTGTCTGTTCAAAGGACATTGTTCTAGAAGTCGTATGGATTGTTCAGATGCAACTTTGCAAACCTAAACCGTGCTGCCATGCTTTTTTCAGATTGAAGAGGCTTTCCTCTGGCAAGCCATCCAAACATGCCATACTTGTCCCATATTTTTCTGTCATGAACTTTATCATTTAACATGTTAACTGAGGCCTGTCGAGTCTGCAGTGAAGTTCTTGGGTTGTCTGCCATTCTTCTGAGCGTTACGTGGTCTGATGTTGGGGTGAATTTGCTGGGACATCCACTCCTGGGAGGATTGGTGTCTGTTTTGAATGTCTTCCACTTGTGAATAATCTACCTTACTGCAGAATGATGGACTTCAAATTGTTTGAAAATGGCCACACTACTCTTCTCAGATTGATGGCAGCAACAATTGCTTCACTAAGATTATTGCTGATGTCTTACTTCCTTGGCATTGTGTTAACACACACCTGAAGACCAGGGGCCTCATTTATAAAATGTTGCGTATAAACTAGGGATGCACCGATACCACTTTTTCCAGTACTCGCCCGATACCGATACTTTTATTTTTGGTACTTGCCGATACCGAGTACCGATACCAATATTTATATTGCATTTGTACATTTTTTAAATATTGGGTAGAGAAACCAAAAGATTATGTATAATGTTAGTTGGTTAACTTCATTTATCAAATAGATACAATCAAACCAAAATTTATTCAGACACCTTCAACATTTCTCACATTATCACAGTTTATTCGCTATAGTTTAGAAAATGGTAATAAAATATAACAAGAACTCAGAGTTAAACTGTGTCAGAACAATTTCAGCTTGATAATGTTAGATAACTTTGATAGAAAGGTATGTAATAGATTACAATCAACGAAAAATTAGACAGCTGTTAGTATGACAGTATTTACACAACTATCAATACTTAGTCAGCAGCCCTTAGCCTTAATGACAGCATATACTCTCCTGGGCATGCTGTCACTCAGCTTCATGCAAACCTCAACTTCAATGTTTTTTCCCAGACTCTGTCTGAATAATTTTTGGTCCCAAATTTGTATCAATTTTACTGGTAGTCCACTGTATGAAGAATTTTTGGGTATGATTTGTCACAGTTTACTTTATTTTGCTATCCTCACTTACATAAATGAACTATAGTGTCCTGCACCCACTAGTAAAAAAAA